TGCGGTATAATCCTATTTTAAATAGGATATCATTAATCTGGCTGCTGGATTCAATACTTATCGTTATTCAAATCAACCAACAATTTCATGTGGACTTCCTAGACATTTCAAGCTGCATTATCATCGTCAGCATCCAGAAAGTCCACGTGTAGGCATGCATTGAAGGTAGTCTTCCATCAAATATCTTGTCAAACTCCATCCATCAGACTTTACAATTAGATAGGGGAGCATATGGCCCAAACACAATCCAACTAGAACTCATTTTCTTTTCAACCAACGCAGCTGGCACCAAATTAATCCCAAAAAAACATGGCTAATCCTTCACGTTGGACTCCCCCTTATCTTCATGCAATAAAGATTGCAATGTGGTTTAGATGAATAATCACCAATCAATAAAAATTGTTTGCCATCACGTGTTAGGACTCTTCACATAATGCTCTGATGCTCCAATCCATACGTCTGAATGCGTCAAGATAATTCATTATTAAAAGATAATTATTATGATTAAAAAACCATAATATTATCTCTTAACCAGAACAAAAATATCTTAACTTTCTTATCCGATGGTTAAGAACCATGCTCACTCAACGGCCTTGATTACTCGGGCCGATGGTGTAAAATCGGGTACAAACATTGCCCCCCAGTTTCCTTGAGCTTCGGCCCGAAAGCCGAATGGTTAAGGAAATTAAGCCTAGGGTCGAATAATTTCCAAGAGCATCACGACCAAAGAAGGAGGTCGAGAACCCATATGCTCAGGAATTTCCCTTCTTCGACAAACCACCCACATAGGTTTTGGCCGAGCTATTCATCATCGAGATTTTATGAAGAAGTAGCATGTCCCATCATTAATTCCTACCCTCAAAAGCATGATGGCTTTTCCTTTGGTAGTCTAGCAACATGAGGAACTTGACTGGGGACTTGAATGTCTATAAGTTCTCTGCTGAAATCACCGTTGGTTATTTAGCCGACTTAGGACATCTTCAGCGTTGTGACCATGGTGGAAAAGCATCCTCAAGCACTCCATACTTATCATCTTTCAACTACCATTATTTCTTATACAAGGCTCAACAGAGACTCCTTCGCCAGAAACTTTGTAAGTACTTCGACCGTCCACTTCATTTGGTCGAAAAATAAAAATGGAGCCGAGAATAAGAAAACTTGAGTATCAGTAACTCAGCCTACCATCAATCCTCGGCCACCTTTTACCTATTCGACTGTCGACAAATACCCATGTTGGCTGACATCCTCAATTTCTCAATCAAGAACGCCAAGACAAAGACGTCAAGCTTCTTGGTAGAGAAAGACAAGACCAAGAAATATACTATCGTCGAGCTCGACCGAAACCACGTAATAGATTAGGCATGTGATTGCATCGTGCTCAGCTGTCGAATGGCCTCTAATACACCGAGTGCCAAAACGATTAAACTGAATGGCTACGCTAGAAGATGATTAAAAATATGATTAAGCCGAGCACACCACTTATTCCTCCCTTATTTCTTTGAATATCGGCCCGTAAACCGAATGGTTGAGGAAAATATCAACTTTCATTTGAACTTACTCCACCGAATAAAGAAATACTCCAAAAATTGGGATCAAGTAACTGCATCGACGCCATTCATCTAAAAATTCATTCGGTTGTCAGCTGGATTTCAGAAGTTATCACGAACAATTCCTTCCGGCCAAGAAACATCAAGTAGCTATATATGCTTGGTGGGCCGAGAAACATCATCGTCGGCCGAGGAACATGTGATACTGCTACATGCAATGTTGCCAAGTATATATATATCAAACCCCATGACGCCAACTGGTTTCATATATATATATATAACCAAGGCCACAAAAAATCAAGCCTTGGAATGGTTTTTAACATCCACCGACCTTGCTCGCTTACTCTCGGCCTAGACGGCCGAATTTTTTTGTTTTTGTACGAGGTCAGGATGCTCGTTGCCCTCCTATCTTCTTATGCATCATCGGCTCAAACAGCCAGATGGATAATAAAATAAATTCTTATTCGTGACAACTCGACCAATCAAAGTCAGCAACGCCAATTATACCATCTTCTTAAGCATCGGTTGAATAGCTGAATGGTGAAGAAAATCAATTCTTTTTTTTTTAAGAAAAAAATAAATGGTCAAACCATAATCAAGCGGAGGCCAACAATGCTTTATTCTAAGCCGAGATCTTTTAATATCAAATTTCTCAACTTGATTTCGCTCTAGGCCGAATAAAGAATTTTCTCTAAATATTTTTGACTCAGTAAAATATTTTTCATTTTCGATCGCCGAATGTGTTGAACAATTATTATGCCCCCCCCCCCAAGCATAATTATTTTGTTAATTTCGGCTCTTAATTCGAATAGCTTAGCCGAATGGGATTTCTCTATATCGGCTTTATCACCAATAATCATATCAATTGGCGTGGTTTCGGCTTCTAAGATCACGTCTCCAATTACCATATCAATTGATGTGGTTTTTTCGTCTAAAGTCGTGTATCGGCCTCGTTCATCATTGGAACCTTCATTTGACGAATTATTTTCTGAGTCAATTTTTGGCTCAAAAACTTGAACTTTTTCTTCTAGGCCTACCACACTTTCATTCTCGACCGAAAAAACAAGTGGCCTAGGTTCTTCTTTGGCCGTCTTGACAATTTTCCTAGGCCGAAGTTTGATTGTTGTTGGAGCGGAAAATTGCCCCCATCTTCTAGACAACTTGTCAAGGAGTTTTGCTTTCTTCTTGTAGCAATGCTTCACTTGGCGCCAAGTCTCCAACGGAACCTATTGAAATCTTGATCTATCATGTGAACTTCGTAGTTTTAGCACTGTGTCCCACTGGGCGAGCCAAAATGTTGACCCTAAAAACTACCAAGCCTACGTGGCGCACAGGCCGAGTAATTAATAAGCTAACTATGTCCTTCGGTTGTATGCGAGGCGTGCGAACTTGTCAGCCAAGCTCGGTCGAGGAGTAAAATTTGTTGACGTTGCGTTGGGTGCACTGATGACTTCTGAATCTCGCGATTGCGGCCGAGGAAAGAACATTTTCAGCCTTCGGGTTCTAGAGCTTGAAGACAAAGCTTCTAGTTCTGCGAAGTTCAATATCAAATTCGGCTTTCAATGTGTCGAATATAATAACTTGTAACACCTCACTTCGCCGAAAATGCTAATGAGATGACCTCTGCCAATAAGGAAAAAATCTTTCTCGACCGAGACTTGGATAGATAATCAGTCGGCCTCGACGCAGTGCTGTTTATCCAAACTGAAGGTGCTCTGCGGTCGGCTGATTTTACAGCAACAGTGATGTTTATCCAAACTGAAGATGTTCGCCGATTGCCTTCACAATGCTGTTTATCCAAACTGAAAATGTGTTGGCGAAAAAGAAAATAAAAAAAATCTCAAGATGTTTGAGAGGTTTCGCATAGAGCAAGGGTTTGCGCAGAGCAGTTTGTGTGTTGTGTTGGAGATCCCCTCCATGCTGCTAATGCTCTTGTATTTATAGCAATGCAATCTGTTTGATGGCTTTGTAAAACTATTCGCCGTGTAAATTGCCAATAATATTCTTATGAATATTATCTTCTGACCATCCGATTTGCATGCAATCCCATCTTTTGTGCTTGAAAATCTCCTTATCCCGTCAGTCCACCCTTGCGGTATAATCCTATTTTAAATAGGACATCATTAATCTGGCTACTGGATTTGATACTTATCTCGTTATTCAAATCACCCAACAATTTCATGTGGACCTTCTAGACATTTCAAGTTGCATTATCATCGTCAGCATCCAGAAAGTCCACATGTAGGCATACATGGAAGGTAGTCTTACATCAAATATCATGTCAAACTCCATCCATCAGACTTTACAATTAGATAGGGGAGCATATGGCCCAAACACAAACCAAACTCATTTTCTTTTCAACCAACGCAACTGGCACCAAATTAAAAATTAAAAAACATGGCTAATCCTTCACGTTGGACTCCCCCTTATCTTCATGCAATAAAGATTGCAGTGTGGTTTAGATGAATAATCACCAATCAATAAAAATCATTTGCCATCACATGTTAGGACTCTTCACATGATGCTCTGATGCTCCAATCCATACGTCTGAATGCGTCAAGATAATTCATTATTAAAAGATAATTATTATGATTAAAAAAATCATAATATTATCTCTTAACCAGAACAAAATTATCTTAACTTTCTTATCCAACGATTAAGAACCATGCTCACTCAACGGACTTGATTACTCGGGCCGATGGTGTAAAATCGGGTCCAAATAGTTATATAACCCATCTATTGTGGATTCATAACTAATTTTGTCCAGCTCATATTTTGACAAGACAAACATGGACTGGACTTAAGTCGATTTCAATCGGTCAAAACATATCCCAACTAGCCCACCAAATATGCCCTTAAAGTTTAAGGATAGAAACCTAACTAATCGTGGTGCCTAAAGGAGATTCAAACTTAGAAGTATATTCCAACTTTGAAAAGGCACAAAGTTTTGACTGAAAGATTAGGCCCAACTGAACAAGAACAGAAACCAAATTATGCCCAACAATTTTAGCGTCCAAAGTGAGTGTCTGAGCCGTGGTTTAGAAACGTGTCTGATTTAAGGCCTGATCGTATAACTTAGCTACACTACGCACACATTTCCTATTCCTAGTATAAAAACATACATATTGCCATTAGGGGTGGGTTCAAAAAACCGAAAACCGAAAAAACCGAAAACCAAATCGGACCGAGGCCGAAAAAAACCGAAAACCAAACCGAACCGAGGCCGAAAAAAAACCGAACCGAAACTGTCAAACCGAACCGAACCGAATCTGGTCAGTTCGGTTTCGGTTTTTAAGGTTCGGAAACTGAACCGAACCGATATATATATATATATTTATTTATTTTTTTTTTCAATATTATAAATAGTTTAGTCATTCAATCATAACAAAACATAACATGTTGCCAAGTTGGTTTCAGGGAAAATTTTCAAGTTGCAGCGCAAGGGTTCGAACCCTTTCGTCTGTTTGTTTGTTTATTGTCAGATAGCTTGGGTGAGAGACGTTACCAGATGTGGTGTGGAGGATTTTGCAAGGAATTCGAATAGTCGGCGTCTTTTGAAACTTGGGCTCGCAGACGGCTACAGTGAGGTAGCAGCCGTGGAGTACTTTGCATTTTCTATTAATCTGCCGATTTTCTGGATTTATTAGTGTTATGAAGTGACTGAGATCTATGAATGTGTGCTCATTTTCAGTGTGATTGTTTCTGGGATTCCGATTCCGCCCCACAGAAGAAGAGTTGGTCCACTATTACTTGCAGATGAAGCTCGAGGGATACTCCAAGCATATATATGTCGAGCTGTGAATAGAAGTCAAGAGCTACGAATAGAAATTAACTGCATGCATATATATTATTATCTGCTCGCACAAAAAATTATTTCTAATTATCATGCTATGTCTTTGATTCTGGCAGTTATGGATACTCCAAGGAAAGATTTGTCTGGTCTTTGATATCTGTTGTTGGTATCTTTTGGCAGTTATTATTTTTTTCTTTCTAATAACTTACTGTTAATTTCTTAGATTATCTATTGTGTTTGTAAATTCTATTGCGGTTTTATAGAATTTGTCTGCCTCTTCCTCAGCCCCTCCAAATATTCAGTATGCAGCTCTTGTGATTAGTTGCTCATTTATTATTGAAGGTACAGCTTGATGCATTATCTTTCAAAACAATGATGGGAAGCCCAATCATATGATTAGTTTATTTGTTTCACATGTTCCCCCTTTTAACCTTTGCATCCATTATGTAGGTGCTTCTCTTCTTGTTGCCATACAAGCCGTCAAGAAAGGTGTGGCTGCTGAGGGCATGAAATTGAGAGACTATATATGGCGCAGACATGATCCCATGTCTGTTGCAGTCATGATAGAGGTAATACACTGGGTTGTTCTTTCTTTGTTCTCCCTTGGTTGTTGGAAATTTTTTGTTTCTGTGATTGCAAAGTAAGACACGATTAGGTATGGAAATGGGGACCAATGAAAGTTTCAGCAACACCAATGAGTATATAAGAGTCTTTATTTGCAAGAAACTATCTCAAGCAGTCAAACCCAACATGTAATGTCTTTGTAACCCTTCATTAACATAGCATAAGCCTAGAGTTGATTGGAAATGATGAAGCCACACATTTTCTGGTATGATAACAAGCTATTATCCCTCTGTAAATTATCTCATGTATGCAGGATAGCGCAGCTGTAACTGGTCTTGGTACTCCACGAGAACTTGGATCAAGAGACCTTTCCAACTTTCTGTCATCTTTGAGTCACACCTCAGTACAACATAAACCTGATGTTTATGCCCAAACAAATATCTATGACGAGCATCAGCGGTCACAATGGGCATGGTGTGTGTGTGTTGTGTTGTGTTGAATAACCGAAAAAGGATGACTCTGAAGTGACTTTGAATGTAAACTTTCATATTTTCAATTTTTTTTTTAAATTTTTGGAGGAAGACAAAAAAAAAAAAAAAAAAAAAAAAAACCAAAAAAAAACCGAAACCGAACCGAAAAATCCAAACAAAAAAAAAACTGAAAAAATTTGAACCGAACCGAACCGAACCAAACCGTTGAGAACCGAACCCAGCCCTAATTGCCATACACAGACATTTACACAGAAAAAGGAAAACTACAAAGAAATGTTAACTCCCTTAAAAGAAACCTTGGCAAACTTGTTACAATTTTGGCCCTTCCAATTGCTACTTCTAGCCACTTTCCTCGTCCTCTTATACAGATGGTCATCCACCTCCGCAAACGCACCACCACCTTCTCCACCAAAGCTCCCTATCATTGGAAACCTTCACCAAGTAAGCTTGCAAATTCATCGCTCACTTCAAACCTTATCTCAGCGACACGGGCCTCTCATGCTGATCCATTTTGGAAGTACGCCAGTCCCTGTGGTCTCGTCCGCTGAGGCTGCCTGCGAGATCATGAAAACCCATAACACCACATTTGCCAACAAACCCCAGATCATATTCTTCAAGAAGTTTTGCTACAATTTCAAAGATGTGTCATTTGCACCTTATGGTGAGTCACTACTAGAATTATAGCTATACAACACCAACGACCGTCAACTTGCACCTCCAAAATCCTCTTCCCGTCCTCTATCCAACTCCCAAGTTAGTTTCATCAAATTCGAAGCCGAATTTCCTCAATTTCATATCTAAGAAACGGTAACCATGGATTTTCCGGCCAATTTACAGCCAAGCTTGCCGGAATTGGACCTCGACCCAAGAGGTAAAGATGATCCTCTCCTCGTGGGCTGTCTTCCAGTGTAAGTTCTTTTCCAAAATAAAAACGTTCAGCTTTTGGATCGATTCTAGATTTCAAATCTTAATTCCATTTTCTGTATGCATGTCGAAGATTGGGGACGAGGAAGGTGAATCAAGGTTGTTTGAGACCTGGGCCGAGAAGAATGGAAGTTTTTGTAGGTCTTAGTTGCTGGAAGAGACGAGGAAGAGCGTGCCGAAGAGTGGAAAGGTGATGCATTTGATTCAGGTGTTTGAGAAGCTGGTTTCGATTCAGAGCTCGAAGGATCCGGATGAGCAGAATGGGGAGGAGGAAGCAGCGGAAGAGATTGGGAAGAAGGCGGCCAAGTGGGCATTGCCCGGATTGTAGCCTCCTAAGGCACCGGAAACACAGGTCTCGTCTTCTTCGTTTTTCCCGCCAAACTTGTTGTTGACGACGGAGAATCTCGGTCTGGATCGGCAAACTTCAGTCTCTTCTTCTTGGGATGGAAGTCTGGAAAGGTTAGCAATTATACTTGATTATAGTTAGCATGAGAATTTGATGCACATCAGGTGTTTGTTGTATGTCCTGACTCAGTTTGGTTGTGCTCTTTTGACTAAACAGTGTCTCAAGCAGGACTTCGAATGGGGGGGCGAAGGAGCCGAGGAAATGTAATTCTTGTCCTTACTGTTTTTACATTATTTGTAGATTGAAAATGATTGACTAACTCAGGTTACCTCTGTATTCCGGTTTGAATTTCAGAGCTCTGAATCTTGTAGCACAATCGGAGGAGGGAGATGGAAGAAGAAAAAGCAACTGAGAGCCACTAGCACTAAGCCATTCAAGCTAAGAATATAGGTAAACTGTGCTGAAAATGAATGGTATCGAAAAGCACTCGAAAGTTTACTTGGCTTGCGTTGCTTCTAACTTTGTTTTGTGATATCACTGCAGGAAAGGGGAAGACAAAAGGAGGAAGAATTCACGAAGAAGCTACAAGAGATGATGATGGAGGAGGAGAGACAGCGGATACCAATTGCTTAGGGCCTCCCATGGACAACTGACGAAGCAGAGGTATAGATACCAATTCAATGTCCCAAATCACATGAAAAATACTATTTAAGTGATTTTATTGCTATTGCAAGACAGACAAGACCGAACGACTAACTTGTATGCATATCTTTGTATTTGTCATCTAAGTGCTTACTGAAACCTCTAGTAAAAGAAATAACAATACCAACAGACCTGAAGCTCCACAGTGACATGCGGGCAATAGAGCGAGTAGAGTTTGACCATCAGGTGATTTTGAATACTTCAGCCTTAAGAATATGTGCTTTGTCTCTATATTTTCAATCACTCAGCTTAGTAGTGCATATAAACTCTGAAAAAAAATTGTTTTCAGGTAGCATTTGGGAAATAAGTTATTGCCTCGATTTTGTAGAATTAACTTTGTGACATCATCCTAACATGTAAATTACTTGTGGGGACAAATTTTGTAGAATAAACGTTTATGTTTGCATCGTAACATGGAATGACAATCTTAACATGAAATGAACAACTGTGAGATATCTGTAAGGACAACTTCATGAAGTTGCTCTTCTTAAATATGTCGCTTTGGAGATAACAGATGTATATAAGTGTTGGTATGTTGGGCATGTGACAACAAATTGCCTTTCTGAATTTGGTTTTTATGTGTGTGCACCCATCAGGTGGTAGAGAAGATGAGCCTGTTTGAGCAATACAAGATGGAAAGAGAAAGACTGCTGAAGGTAAAGAGTTATTGCACTTGATGAGCAATTCAGTCTATTCGTCACCACTCATATAGGTTTCCCTGTGGTCCATTTTTCTGTGAAGCAATTCAGTAATTATATTTGATGCTTACAGATCACAGAGAAGTTGATAGCAGATATGTTCTTAGTTGAAGCAATTCAGTAATCATATCTCAGTGTTGTCCTCAACTCTAATCACTTTAACAGTTGGACTTGAGTTAACATTATTCTTACGAAATTTGTGGGTTTGATTTTGGGTGCGGGTTGCAGCTGATGATCAGATTCAAGTTATTGAAATGATTAAGCTCTTGGAAACAAAGGGTTGGAAGACTTTTTAAAGTTTGGTTCCAACATTTGTACAAAATTGCATAAAATATCAGTTGTGCAAATTTATAGTTGTTTTCTTATATTTTAATGATATTACAATTTGTTTTCTCACCAAAAACAGAAAAAGAAATATGATACTCCAATTTGGGTGCCCACACAGGGCATCCTTTGTTTTAAAACACAATTTGCAACTTTGACACCAACGTGAATTAGGGTGGCACTGTTTGCAGATGGCACCAATGTAATAAGGGTCTCCATTGTTACAATAGAGTCCTCTACATAGGACATGTTCTCTAATTTAGTGGCTGCTTGGTGGCAATTGAGGTTTGCCACCAACGTGAGTGTCCACAACTGACAGGAGACACCAATGAAAAGGGTGTCCTCTAGCCAAAATTCTAGTAGTGAGTATTGGAGAAAGGTTTCGCTCTTTTCGTGCAGTGAGAGAAGAGGAGATCAAACCCTTGATCAGCAACATAACTAAGCAGTGCTCCTCCTCCTCTTCGACGTCAACATCGTCAACTTTGAATTTAAGCGAAATGCTCGTGACGCTTACTAACGACGTCATATGCAGAGTGGCTCTAGGGACCAAGTAGAGTGAGCCAATGGATGATTCTCTTGTCAAGAATGAGGACCAAAAAGATGTCGTGGACATTTTGCTTTCCCTTCAGAAAGATAAATTAGCTCGTTCTCCTATTGATCGAGTTAGCATAAAGGCTATCATTTGGCAATTAACACTCCCTTAGTGCCTTATCTTTATTTTTTATTTTTTTGTAAACATGGTGTACTCTTATCTTTACATAACAAAATGTTTGAATGAATAAATTTTCACATACAATGATGTCTCTTAAGTTTGACAACCTCATTGTTGACACACTCTCTAATACAGATGGGTCTCACATACAATAGTAACGTCTGCCTCTACTCTTACATGCGTGCAATATATATATGCATGGTCAATTTTGTGTGTATAAATAGGTTTTCAATTAAACTACCAAAATTTTTCCTTTAACTTAGAAATATAGAACAAAGAGAGGTTAATTAATAGTTGTACTTGTACTTGAAGGCCGTGATCAAGGAGAGTCTCCGCTTACATCCTCCAGCTCCAATACTAATGCCAAGGATGTCGTCGCAAGATGTGAAAATAAACGGTTACGACATTAAAACCAGCACACAAGTTCTGGTGAATGCATGGCAGATTGGAAGAGATCGCAAGTCGTACGACCAGCCAGAGGAGTACGGGCCAGAAAGGTTCTTGGATGGTGCCGTAGATTATAAAGGGAACTACTTCCAATTCTTCCGTTCGGCGCAGGAAGACGAGGCTGCCCAGGGATTCAGTTTGTCATCGCTATTAGCGAGATTGCTTTTGCAAATTTAGTGCACAAGTTCGACTGAGGATTGCCTGATGGTGCAAGAGGGGAGGACTTAGACATGACCGAAAACATTGGTGCAGCCCTACATAGAAAGTATCCTCTTCAAGTTGTGGCTATTACATTTTCTGACTGAAGTGTATCACCGTGTGTATATTTCAGGAGAAGGAGTCAGTCTTGTAATAAAACTGCTTCAAGGACAGTGTGGCCCTATTCTGGCCGTTCAAAAATAGTTGCCCAAAAAAACAAAAGAAAAATACCGGCCCTCCCAACCATATTTCAATTGAGTACTTTGAATTTACTATCTATTATGTTCTTTTTTCTTAATTCAATAAAATATCTCCTGTACCTAATCCAATTGGGTCAATTGGGTTACCATGCTCTTTGTGAGCCCCATATATAGTATTTTAGAGTGTGATTAAAAGTCGATTAGGTAATGTTTAATAAATCAGTTTTTCGTTTTATATATACAAAATTAAGTGTAAAATGTATTTGGTGGACTATTTTAAAGAATAAGGTTAGAAAATGAAAACCACAACATGCAAAATTTAACTGTTGATTGGAGTATGGTGTGTGGACCTAAACATGAAGGTGGGCTTGGTCTTCGTGAATTAGCTTCTTTGAACTTGACGGCTATGCTTAGTTTTAGATGGGATGCTTTACAATCCTCTTCTTTGTAGGGTTCTTTCGCTCGTCAACGTTTTCCTCTTTCGCCTTACAAAAACCAAAATATATATTTACAGTCTTCAGTGTAGCATGGTCTGAAACGCGCTTTGCCTATTTTGAATAAAATAGTCATTGGATTATTTGTGATGGGATGTCAGTTTCCTTTTGGTTTGACAAATGGTTGGATGAACCCATTATTAGCCCTTATTTATCTTCATCATTTCACCTAAGGTTCTTCCTCGGGTTTCAGATATTATTGAAGCACAATGTTGATCTTTACCAGATTACTTTATAAATTTATTCCCTAATGTGGTGCAACAAAGTTTACATCTACCTTTGCCCTTAAATGTCGAGGATGACATATTGATTTGGGAGCCCTTGCCTACAGGGAAGTTTTCTTTTTCTTCTGGTTATCAGCTTATTCGAAGTAAACATAGTGATTGTGCTTGGGCTAAGGTTATTTGGCAACATTTTATTATGCCACGACTATCTATTTTGGCTTGGCAGCTTTTTCATGATAAACTTCCTACCAAGGGTGCACTTCAACGATGTGGTATTTCTTTGGCATCCATTTGTTGTTTATGTCATAATTCTGAAGAATCTACAGCTCATCTTTTCTTCGGCTGTCGGATATCTAGGCAGCTTGTTACCTTTTTGCCTCTTTCAAATTCTTTGGATTTTTTTTTTTTTGGGATATCTATGTGCATAAATCTTTTTCCCAACAATTGCATAATCTTTGGGTTTTTGTGGGTCTTTCTACTATTGCTGCTATTTGGAAGGCTCGAAATAAGTTTATTTGTGAGGACTGACCAATCTGTTTTCATCATCTCTGCATGTTTATCAATTATGCGATTGTTCATGGTGGAAAGTTTATTCCTGGTTACTCTCAAGGTTTTAACACTCGAATCATCTCTTCGTTGGGGATCCGACCTATCTCTGGCAAGGCACCTACTATTCTTCTTGTCCTTTGGTCTCCTCCTTGGTTTCCTTGGATCAAACTTAATACAGATGGTTTATCTAAAGGAAATCTTGATCCTGCTGCTTGCGAAGGAGTTTTCAGGAGTTGTCATGGTTATTTTCTTGGTGGTTTCTGCTAATGGATTGGTCATCGCAACTTTTTTTTTTGCAGAATTATCTGCAATTATTATTGGTGTAGAGTTTGCATATCAGCTGGGTTGGCATTGTCTTTGGTTGGAAAGTGATAGTTGTAGTGTTAATTATACTCTTCAATCGTCTGATTTTAATCCTCTTTGGCCTCTCTTTACACAATGGTCTATTTGTTTGGATCGCATTCAGAAAATGACTTTCTATGCATCTCACATATATCAAGGAGGAAATTTTGTTGTGGACAATTTTGCTAACATGGGCTTGTCTTCTCCAACTTTAACTTTGCATGATTCTCCTCCGCTAACGGCTCGTGCTGCATTGTTTTTAGATTATATTGGCTTGTCTGGCTACCGCTTCTCAAATTAATGTGCATCTTAGCATCCAGGTTTGTCTCACTTTCTTCTTTTTTTTCCCTACTTTATGGTGTTGCTCAACTTGTCGTGCAGGTTTAAACCTTTAGGTTTGGTTTTAGATGGGTTAGGTTTCATGCCCCCCCCCTCTTTTTCTTTGTATCTTTCTTGCTTTTGTTTCTAGAAGGGTAAGGTTTATGTCCCCTCTTCTTTTTCGTGTATTGTTTTTATTATTCTATTTTATGAGGGGTATGGTTTATGTCCCCCTGACTAGGTGTAACTTCTTTTTCGTTATCAGTGAAATATCCCTCGTACCATCAAGATTTCCACAAAAAATAAAAAAAATAAAAATAAACACAATGTGAAAAGTAACACAAGACACTTATAAAATAAAGTTAGAGTTTTAAGAAGAAAAATCATGTATGACACCACCACCTCATCATGGTGATCACAACTGACCATCATGGCAACCTACAGTGTTCTAAATTGGCCTAGGTGGCGTTTAGCACTAGGCACTAGGCAGCGACCAGCCACCAGGATTAACCCATAGTTGGGAGGAAAATTAGAAAAGAAGTTAGGCAGGTGTCGGGACGGCATGGGCGACACTTGGGTAGCCTAGGCAGACGACTGGGTGACCTAGGTGGTCTAGGCGTTTCAAACTTCTTCTTTTTTCTATTTTTGAACTTGAGAAAGGAGGAATGCAAAGCAGCTATGTTCTTGGTTCCAAGTTCTAGCGAAGAAGAGAGAAAATAAGTTTTTCTCTATTCTATTCCCATCCCATGTCGAGAGATTTTTCAGTGTGTCCAGGACACAAGCATATATGTCATGTGTCATTATACAAGTTGAGGGACACTTGAAAAAGAAACTTCACTCCACTTATATAATAACATATGCGTACCAGACATTGAAAAATCTCTCCCCCTACGTGACCATTTAAATTTTTTTAGATTATTGTCCAATCAAGTTCGGACGGCTAGCATCCTAACTAACATAGGTTGAACGTATATAAAGTATTGGTGTGGCGCCCCACCTTCCTTCTATGAGTTCTAGGGTCCCACTTAGCCAAATGCCTTCGACACAGCATGTTTGACATCTTTATTTATCCTTAAGTTCACTATAAACACCTATCATTTCTGAAAAATATTTCGTAAATTAGTATAAATTGTAATCATTTGAACTTTAATCTCATGCCATCAAATTCACCAAAATACAAAAGATATATAATAATTTACTTAAATTCGTTTAGGCTCCGGCCGACCGACATACTAACTCCAAGTGTTTTTTGGAACCTCGGCGACCACCACATCACTCCACCACCCCCGGACCATTAACACCTCCTTCTCTGGCACCACCTCCACCATCTCTGACACCGTCAACTCCACTACCTCTCAATCACCATTTACACGACCACCCATCCACGCTCGTTGTTGCTGCCCTTGCCGCCACTCCTTGCTACCATCATCATCGTCGACATCATCACTCCCACAACCGTTGCTCCCTCCTTCCAACTATTGTCACCACGCATACCAGCACCACCATTGCAACCACAATCCCATTACCTCCCTTATCAAGCCCTTAATCTCATGGGGTCATCTTTGGCTCGCTCATAGGCCATGATCGTTAACGTTTACTAAGAGTCCCTTGACTTGAGGACTCTTAATGGTGCCGTTCATTGCGACTCCACAAGTCCAATAGTTAATGGGTAATGTTAGGGATGGGTAATTAACTTGATATACTGGTTTCACTCAAACCCAGCAATTAGGGTACGCCACATGTACCTCAACATGTTACCATCACGCCCAACTCTTTTGTGTATAAAAGGACTCGGCCTCCTTTAACCATGAGAGGTAAATGTTCATCCACCAAAAAACCCAAGCTTGAGTTCCCTTCATTTTGTTAAGTTTAATTTAGACATCCAAAAGTCTTTGCCCACATTCTAACATGTCTGTTGTGGTTTCAGAGTTAACAAAATGATTATACTCTTGTGTAGAATTCAATTTCCACGTTAAGGAAAATTAATTACTATCAGAATACTGAACATCAAATTTTAATTCCAAGTAGTGCACAAGTCAAACATAGGAATGAAAGAAAATAATATATCTTAGGAGGACTTGCATGAAACGGATATATAGTTACTGTGGTATTTTGGTTCAATAATACAATATTATGTGTAATTTTTTCTTCATATTGACATTGATCACTATTACATTATTGGATCGAGACATCACGTAAAAATGAACTCATCCCATATAAATTGCTTTCCATCAAATTGAGACATCAATTCACAACCACCATTCATTGACGCATCAGCAATGTGCCGTAGGGCCCATCCAAACACAAAACTCAACTGTGCCACACAGTGCAGATTTTCACAACAAAATAATTAAAGACTCGTGAGTTTAAGATGCGAATCATGTGATATGCCCTAGGTAGATAAAATGTGGATAGAAAGATATGAGTTGGAGATGCATGAAAATCCTTTGGAGCCTTCTCATTGGTTGATTCAAACCCTCATAATCCCCATCAATACTTCCCACTCCTGCATTCTGAACCACCCATCTGTGCATAATATTGCACACACAGCTACCCCTTCTACACACTTCCAAGCTTCAACACAATTCCACGGATTACTTCATCACAAAACAAATCAAGTCAACTGAATTAAGTTGCGAAAGCTTGGAAAGTCATGGCAGCAGCTGCTAGCTCGAGCACTCTTCTAAGAACAACCCCATTTCTTGGCCAAAGCCGAGGACCAAGCTTCAACACTCTTAAGGATGTTGTGCCAATGGGAACTGGCAAATACACCATGGTATGTATATGTATATACATTATCTGAGCAATAGTCTACAGACTACACTGAATTAGTCTAAACTGCGGAATGCATGTCTAATATTATGGTTTTTTTTTGTGACATATATAGGGCAATGATTTGTGGTATGGACCGGACAGAGTGAAGTATTTGGGACCCTTTTCTGCTCAGACTCCTTCGTACCTGAACGGAGAATTCCCCGGTGATTACGGATGGGACACCGCAGGGTTGTCAGCTGACCCCGAGGCCTTTGCTAAGAACAGGGCTCTTGAGGTACTTCAACACTTCAAGTACTGTTAGTTTCTCACTGCCATTAGTGTGTGGTTTGCTTGCCCACTACCCAAATATCATGTAGTTACAAACGATTAAGAATGAATGAAGCAAGAAATTAAGCACATTCAATAAAAATGCATGCTATTGCCTTCTTTCAAAATCAAAATGGGTGGAGACTGATATTTGAGTCCTAATTCACAATCAGACACCATAACCTTCTCAATATGTTACAAGATGTCGTCGTTGATATGCATAATTTGCATTCATTTGGAAGGAGAAGTACTTAAATTTTGCTAGTGACAGTACTTTACTAATGTTGTGCAACTTTAGGTGATCCATGGCCGGTGGGCTATGCTTGGAGCACTAGGCTGCATCACCCCAGAAGTTCTCGAGAAATGGGTGAGAGTGGACTTCAAAGAGCCAGTGTGGTTCAAAGCAGGAGCTCAAATCTTCTCCGAAGGCGGCCTCGACTATTTGGGTAACCCCAACTTAGTCCATGCTCAGAGCATCCTAGCGGTGCTTGGGTTCCAAGTCATCCTCATGGGTCTCGTTGAAGGATTCCGCATCAATGGTCTTGATGGTGTCGGAGAGGGCAACAACCTCTACCCGGGTGGGCAATACTTCGACCCTCTCGGCCTTGCCGATGACCCCGTCACCTTCGCCGAGCTCAAGGTGAAGGAAATCAAGAATGGGAGGCTAGCCATGTTCTCCATGTTTGGGTTCTTTGTCCAAGCCATTGTGACCGGGAAGGGTCCCCTAGAGAACCTCTTGGACCACCTTGACAACCCTGTAGCCAACAATGCATGGGTCTATGCCACCAAGTTTGTGCCCGGATCATAAATTAATCTGCAGTTCCTCTAATTAGTAATTGTTAATCTTGTTTGAGAGAATGTAATTGAATGGGAAATTACATGTCAATGTTAATACTCGCCATTTTAATTGATCAGATTTTTCAAATTTCACTTTGTGTATCAATTCTATAACAGTAAATCCAATCTTCTTAGTTCTTTCATTTCAGAATTACTTAGTATCTTTTTTCAATTAAAGCGATATTCTAATCTAATCTAAACAACGAGAGGGAGATATCAAACTTGAGTGCAAGGAGAGAGTAGACTACTCAAGCCAACTCAGCTACGCCCAAGACAAAAGATGAATTACTCATCCAAACACATTCTTATCCCCTTCCAATCCCTACAAAAGGGTAGGATACCAAATAGTTTCAATCATTCACCTCTACCTTCAATATATATATACTTTAATTTTACCAGGTAACAAATTCAGTCCAATTGTAGGCACCAAACTCCCTCACCCAAACACATTGTTACAGAGTTGAAAGTAAAACAACAATAACTGTACAAATATACATGTAATCTGCTTTTAGAAAGATAAAAAGCACATTGGAAAATCAGGTACTAATCTCTTAAAAAACAGACAATATGAACATATCACATCTTCAACAAGATCTACACAGTAGCAGATTACATCAATGCCAACAGATTATACACAAACTGCCTAAACTAATCAATGAAGAAATAGCGGCTGAAACCACTTAAGAAAGTCCCTAATTTTCTATTCACATGATCATCAACATTCCCACTGTCACAAAAATTTGGTAGATACACAAGTTTCTCTCCATAATACTACCCCACACCAAGATTCACCGATATGTGATGCCATATATATAAACAGAGGAGAAGCTACTGAAGAAGGAGAGGTAGCTTGCTGAGAAAGTTACTTCCTTTCTTCGGTCATCCTCTTAGCCTCTTAGGTATCTCCTTTGTCCATCACGAGACGGTGATTGATCATCTAAAACAAGATACTACAATGCTCTTGAGCCTATCTTTCCCCACCATTTTCTCCGCCGTTTTTCCTCTTCTGAGTGCCAAATTTTGTGAAGCTTTGTCTTTGTCTCCCGTAATCTTGCCTTGTACTCTTTCTTCCAGGACTCAAACCGGTGTTTAAGTTTTCGTAAATCTTCCTCAGGATTCATATTTGCAGCTGACTGCCCAGGTTTTACCTCAACCAGAGCTTTCGCATCATCATCGAATATCTGTCTCCGCTGCTCAAATTCCTTCAACAGATTGCTGACTGCATTCGAGCTGCCATTAGCCTCACGCCCTGCTCCATTGAGGGGTGTGCTTGCACCAGGAGTTCGAGATCCCATAGATGTGGCTTCTTCAGAATCATAGCGGGCCGATGAAACAGAACCTAGTGTTACAGGTTGACCAGCAGTATTGGCAGATCCAAGACTCTTTCTGGCCGCAGCAAGACTCGTCTGCATAATAGTAAAGAGTATTAAAGCTGATACAAAGTTCAAGCTCAGTAGAAGAGCTGGCCACATACTTGATAACGAAATCCACCACATTTTTTCAAAGAAGTGGAACTAACAGCAGATTCACGTAATGGTCATGTATTTTTTTTAATTCATAATAAGGAACCATCCATTTCTTACAAAGGAGACAAAATATAAATATAAGGTGAGGATGCATGTGCATGAACATTGGTTGTGGTGAAATAAATGATGATCCCAAAAGCTTAGGACTAAGGCGGCGGTTCAACAATGAAAAAGGTGGGGGTTCAACAACTTCATCAAGTTCAACTTAATAACGTACGTTAAAAGTTTACTTCTAAGTCAACATAAATCTTGGCTTTGGATAATCATCTCCAAGTCACTACAAACTCACTGGTCAATTTGGGTTTTCAAGGCATGCAGCAACAATACAATTTTAATTGGATCAGCATAACTATCTCTGGTTAAACTTTTTAATACAGTTTTATAAAATAAACGAAAAATGCATAATTTTATAATCCATTACTGTTTCAGATTTGAATAACAAAGTTTCAGATTGACTATGAGCATAATTTTCCCCATTTCTTCAACTCTTTTCAGGATTCGATTTTGGTTTCAAAAAAAAATCATAAAATTATGTGTGCATACTTTTTTAAAACTAAGATCAAGCATACAAGAAAACTCACCTGTAAAGACACCATCTGCTTCTGCCACACGTCCTGCATCGATTTCATCTTTGATTCATATTCTGACCATCTTGTTTCAAATTGTTGCAGTTGCTCCTGTAATTCAGCATTTTCCTCCTCCTTCCGCACCAGAGTTGCTTCAGCCTGAAGCACCCGCCTTTGAAGCTCTGCCAAATCTGATGGCAAATCCTGTTCAGGAAACATATTCCACTTTCAGTTATTCAGATCTGAAAACCTCAGACATATAAGAGAGTGCAAAAAAGTTGGTCTTTCATTTACAAAAACCTCCAAAGGGCAAAATTTACCAGAATGCACAAGTATACTGTATATCTTGCAATTTTCAGTTTTAAGTGCAAAAGCATCTGTTTCAAAGAGCAGAATTTTCACAATGTAAATTTCGAGCCTTGGAGAATTTCGTGAATACAGTGGGCGTGTATACAGTTGGGGACCTTAAAATTTCATAGCCATGGGAAATAAAAAAAATTTAACCACACCGGAAAAGACTTCTATTTAAAATTGAAACTCAAGATTAACGCTAATGCAGTGCTTTTGAAAACTCAATCTTAAACCTATCGGGCGTGTTTTTGGTTCTATTAAATAAAGTTAGATTGTTTCATGTGGTTAGGTAAAAGTAAAACTGTATCTATTGGATAAATTTTTGGGAAACTAATGAAAAGGAAGCAAGTATCGGGTAATGACTAGTCATATTTCTGTCTGGTTTCGGGCATTTAAGATCTTCATAAGGGGAAGAGGCAAAGGAAACAGGTCTAGCAAGTAAATAATTACTTTATCGGAAGTACCTTCACCTCTGACATCTTCCTGCCGGCCTTCCTTTTAGCTTTCCCATTCTCAGGATGTGACCTCTTCAAATTTTGCCGCTCATCAACAGTTTCACAAGCACCTGGTTTCCTTCCAGTATTTTCACAAAGACCATCTGCATCTTAAAAGTAATTTCCATTAATACTAAAAAGTAGTCAAAAGATATTGTTCCTCAATATACATGCATAGGACAACAAATGAAGTTTCAACCACAAATTCAAGCATGTTCGCTTAGCAACATAAAGAACAGTATGGACTGACAAACTACAACGTCCTGAAGAGATTCCAAAATTTGTATTGAACCAAGATTTTGTTTTTCAGAAGAAATATCAAATTGTACTAAAAATGCTGCAATATATGATAAAACCAGCTCAATCTCAACCAAATGAAACTTTAGAAGTTAGTAGGCATTACTTGATTGTATCTTTGCGACTCCTTCCTTAAGTTGATCAAAGTGACAACGAGCCCGGTGACCACGGAAGTATTTTTGGACACCAATTATTCCTCTCAGAACTTTCTTTCGCTTATCCTCCAACGATGCAATCTATGAACAACCAGACTCAGCAACATTAGAAAAGCCACCAGAGGATAAACTTTAAAATAAAATAAAATAAAAACGGAAACAGATGAAGAGAAAAATTCAAAACTATTAAAGGAGCTCACCTGCCCCGTTCTAAGAAACACTTTCGTATAGCCAATTTGGTACATTTCAGGGAGGACACTGAATCTTTTTAGAATAGCAATGGATAGACTTAATGGATCCTGAGGTAAATCGTCCTCCAAAAGTAGAAAACCATACCTAACCCAAAAGACACATGAGAAAAGATATCTTGGCAGTTGTGACAGCCAGTAGAAACTTAAAACCTTAAACTACAGTTCAATGTATACCAACCTTCCAGCAAATTCTTGATGTGTCATTCTAGTAGGATATCCAGATCGTGATATCCTAACAACCTCCAAAACTCCACAACACCTGAGCTGTTGTAAAACAAGGTTTACTTCATACATGCCGGGAAGCTGCTTACTGTTTGGCTTTATGCAGCTAATGAAGTGAGGTTTGCTGCTCTCCAACTGGTGCATTAGTTTAAACAATTGACCCTACAGGAATGTATCATATACAATTAAACTTTAAACGGCGAACAACAACATCAGCTATGTCCCAGCACACTGTTAAATAATTTAGAATGAGAAGTAGCTTTCTGACCAAACAAGATCATCCACCCCCATGTCACCAAAAGAAAACTATCTTCCAAACTCTTCTAACAGAGTCGTATCTTACTCAGATGAAATTCATGATTTTGGCATCTCATCTAAGGATACAAAAGTTACTCCCATATCCAGCTAAAACTTGAGCAAGCATGTGTACCTTGAACTCAATACCAGCGCTTGATTTTGAAGGGTCCAACGCATTCATCTGGCACGAATAATTTTCTGGTTTCTGGAACTGCTTAAACTCTTTGGAAGTAAACAACTGCAGAAGTCGGCAACTGCACGATGACAGGAGTTGGAAGAAAATAGAGGGCAACTTATCTCTGTTTTTGTCCAAGAATCCACTTGTGTCATATAGGACCTAATAAGATTCCATACATTAGTAAAATCAGTACACTATGAGAACCATAAGCAATTTTATAGAAATAAAGGTCATCAACCTTGCATCAATTTGTACAGGCTTACATCATGCATTGCCTAGTACGAAAACAAAAGTTGTACTATCCTAAAACTATAGTTAAGAGATTCCAGAAGCAACCAATACATTGTCTCCTAAGCCAGTCCTTCCATATGGTCAAGGCTTAAGTTAAATAAACCCAAGCAACTAGTCATAAGGAAAACAAAAAACGTGCTAATCATGTGGTTGCAAACTTGCAATTAACAATGGCAGTTTCCTAGCATCTCTGTAGGTGTGAGTCCAAGAAACCTTGATGTGATCCCAAAAGCCAGTGATTCCAGAAATCTTCCAATAAGAAGAAGACAGAAATGATGCCTACCAAATACCCATAAATTCTTCCAAAAATCTCACTCTTGTACACTTCTACTACTAAATCTAGCACAATCATACTTTTTCACCACTGGTATTGTTACCTTTCCATGATTCACTTGGCTACTTGTTACGCACTACTTTCAAGGCATGCAGAAATAATGGAAAAAAAAAAAGAGTCAAATAATTGTAGTTGGCTTGTACATATATAATAGTGCAAGTGAAGTCAGCATACGACTGAACTTTGTGAACATGCTCAAACAAAAACTAACCTCTCCAGCAAGATGACAAATACTGAAACTGCTGGCTTTTTCTGCTTTGAAGCAAGAATTAGCATTCAAGTGTTGCTTAAATTTATTGGCAAGGGTCAAATCATTTGCCTTGGGGAAGTTCAATTCCTCATCCAACAAGGATAGCAGCCCAAAAGGTTTCTGCACCACAACACAGTAAAAAGTGGATTAACTCTAGAGGCAAATACTATGGTCACTTACTTTAGAAAAATACCCTTCTTACTTTGCAATGGGAAAGGGCGCCAAATGAATTTTGCAATTAAGAATCAATTAGAAAATTACAAGTGGATAGTTGAGGGGTTTTCCTCCAGTTGAGCTATTGAAGTGTTTCTTTAAAAAAAATACAAAGAGAACGGAAGACTAATACCACCAAACTCTATTAAGATATCATAAGCAGTCAATCAAGGTAAAGCAAACACGTAAAGGCCCAAACCCTAATTATCACAAATTATACAAGTTGATTTGAATGTCATATATACTATACAGTGGAGATGAATCTAATGAACTTCTGATGAAAACTTAGCAGGTCCACAATATAGAAGGCTTAAATCAATGACATACCTTCTCAAACAGATTCAAGCATTCTCGGTTGTCTTGAAAATCAACTTTAGTCCAATCAACCCCGTCCAATTCACATTCCTGAAGTAAAAGGAATAAGCAGTCACATTACACTTCACACGTTTAGTCATAGCATGTAGTTTGACACTAAGCAACCTTAATGCTACATTGCACTTGAGATGCTCACCTCCTGCTCAAGCTTAAATAAATGTCGGTTGAAATGTTGTTGCAGCCTTTCATTTGCATAATTAATGCACATCTGTTCAAAGCTGTTCTTCTGAAAAATAGCCCTTAAGATCATTACTAAATACACAAATCTTATTGCAAACATCACCAAAAGTGAAGTATATATAATTACCTGGAATGACTCAAACCCGTGAATATCAAGTATACTGATGGATCTCCCAGTACGGCATTTTCCCACTGCAAGTGACTTGTTAATTTGTTCTACAAGCCAGTCAAACAAGCTGACATAGATAAATTTTGCCAATGCATCTCTTGCATCAACTGCCTGAATATGAGAGGAAGAAAGAATAAGCTTCATCTTTAGACTTTCATTAAAAAAGTGCGTTTAAAAGCTGTCAGGCTCAAGGATGAACAGATAGATTGTTACAGAAATTAACAAACCTGTCGCAGTGTCAATCTTTTGACAATACTATCCTTGCTACCATGGATTTCGGGGGTGGATAAGGAAAGAATCAGTTCCTGAGAACTACAACCCATCAGCATGGCAGCAATGGTTACAGCTGCCCACAGGAAGAATCAAGAGAAGTTACTCATATGCTCAAGTATAAGTCTGAAAGTAATATACATTTGACTTAACAGAACAAACACATTCTGAGACGGCAGATGGTTGTCATGGAATGAAATCAGACACTGAGAGAAACCTTTGACAACAATGAAACAAAATTTTAAAGGTCTTTTTGGACATATACGTGCACAACATTCTAACACTGCTCAACAATATGACTCTGCAGTTGTAGACCTAAAAATGTCATTCCACTGATCTAGATTATGACCAAACAGAAAACTATAGTAGTTAGAACTATCACCAAAAATTCAAGCCAGGAATGCAACGGCTTACAACCAGCATTGTATGTAAAATATCACACAGAAAGATCACCAAGTCAATGATCTATATCTTACCTTCATCAGCTAACACTTCTACATGATTCTCATTGTCAATTGATTGAAATGATATGTTTCCCAGCCATAACACTGCAGCCAGCAATGAAAACGCGTGTTCTTGATCTTCCTTACAAACTCGAACAACATCTAGCGCTTCCTGAGGAGATGCAAAAACAATAAAACAAAGGAGAAAGTGACACTTTGGTTATAGAAGGAAGAACCGGAAAAGAAAGTGTATTAACTGCATAAATGGTGGTATAAACAGCTATTTCTTTACTTACCATGAGCATATGAAACTTCCGCGCATCATCTACACCATCAATTTCCAAGCAATCACTCTGATTAAGATACTTGTACTCACTAGCCCTTTTAAGGTTTAGCCTCTCTGCAACCAAAAACATAGAATGATTCCCTGATACTTGTACAGAAGAACCCTTGAAGGTTCTCGTTTTGTAAAATAACAGAACTCAAAAATTAAAAGGCAAATGGTTATCATAGAACTTGTATATGAACCCATTTAATAGGTTTCCTGCCACCTTTTGAAACGCAAGCATGGGTCATTACCGATAACTGATCATTGCTAATTACCATAGCAACCAGGATGTAAAAAGCAATCAGGAAGACTCAAAAGACATGAATCACTCATCCTAGGTAACAAACTGAGATGCCGCAAAAATAAGGTCTGTTACTTTATGTCTAGCTAATTTGTCTAATCACATATAACTTCTGTAGGTTAACTTCCTCTAATATTTTTTGTGGTGCTAGTGGGTCCAAACATTAGGTTACATGCCAGCTTTAGTAGATTTTTTCTTTTCTTGCTTAGAAGAGGAATTCAACCTTAAGATCTACTCTTCACCTGACCTCAACCCATGCCATCTATGATATGGCCCATAGGTCATACAGCAAGATTTCAGCAAAGTAGAGATTCCCAGGCTTATGATGTGACAATTTCCTAATCACTATAATTTAGAAATCTACGCATCCCATAAAGAAAACCAAAATTGAGAAAAGAGATTCATGGGTTTGAAGTTGCCATTTTGCCACATGCACCTATATGGTGCAACAAACAACTAGAACTGATGATTATAAAAAAAAAATTCCCTACCTTTTAGCGTTGATGGAGCACCAGCACAGAGTTGATAAAAGACATGGTACGACCTCTCACCATTTTGTAGTTGTGTCACTCTAGACTGCTCAAAGGAGATACTATAGTGTCAGATAAGGCACATTGAGACAACTAAAACTAACCTGATTGTGCTCATATAGGGCAACTAATTACCTTGTCCAAAAAAACTGTACACAATCATGATAGCCGCATTGGTGTTGACATGTAAACGAGGTAGTAAAATCAAGTTAGTTACTGTGATTGAATGCTAGTCAGGTAATAGCACACCAGAAAAAGAATATATTAATTTTAAACAACTTACATGTTTGGATAGAAGCACCACATATTTTTCCTGCTGTGCTAAAATGAATGTCAAATAATTTCCCCTGAAGCAAAGTAGAAATCATGTTTAAAGTGCATATCCCTTGGACCACATTTATGGAATGAAAAATTGAGGATGGCTTTCATTGACAAAATAAAGGACGAATTCCAGGAAATAATTTTGGATAAAACTTTGAAAAGAAGAAAGAAATAAAGTAACATACGAATCGACTAGCATTGTGATTTCTGCATGTTTTTGCATTTCCAAACGCTTCTAGTATACAATTGGTCTGAAGGATTGCATTTGCATGCTCTGTGCCACAACTGCCACTACCAAGATCAGCCAAGTATTGCATTGCAACTTTTGCTGTCTCGGTTTTCCCAGCTCCACTTTCCCCACTGTAAAAAAAAATTATTGACTATTATTTGCAAACTACATTCTGATTTAAAGATGAACTTTATGATCTAGTATAGAACAACACTGCACACAAGTATTAAGCATAATCCACAAAGAAGATCCTAATATAGGGGAAACCAATTTGAAGAGGTTCTAACCTTATGATTATGGACTGATTTACATCATCTGCAAAATAAAAGTTCCACGCAAAAAATGGGTAAAAATGAGTTATAGAACAAGTTAAACAATGCCACCATAAGAAGAAAACATTCAGCTCAAAGGAAAATATAGAAATAAAATAGGTGTCATGCACCTGCCATCATCTCATCATAAGCAGCGTCTGCCACAGCATAAACATGAGGTTTGTCTGTTAGTTTCCGCCTATAAGTTGTGACAAAATCTTCTCCATAAATTTGAACATCTTTGAAAGGATTGATTGCAATCAAAACTGGCCCAGCTTTGCTCTACAGAAGAAAATCACAAGACATGTAAAAGGAGAGGAGAAGAAGACATTAATCTGAAACAAAAGCATCAGCAACAGGAACATGTGATACTTACATAAATCATATCCTGGGAATATCTACATTGAAGATTGTAAAGTACAGAAGGCTCATTCAAATAACTAAGCTGGATAAGATCATCCACACCTTCGAGAACATTTGGGTTTGCAGGTAAAAGATCAACTCTGCAAACTTTGATTACCTACAGTAACAGCACAAGGGCATATAAACAGCCCATCAACATAAGTGCCTTCGGTTGTTAAAATGGGATTTGGGATGAGGCCAACAATTGATGAACTTACATTTCCACTAGAGACTGAAACAAGGGCGGCGTCCCCTGAAGTTGACTGTATCGTTCCTAACTCCCACAGCCCACCAGGTAGCCGACACCAAACATGAAGTTTCTGAAACCAAATACTATCAACATCAACTCTTGTTTTACAAATAAACTCCTAAGCTCAAGGAACAAAGATTCAAAATTTACAAGATGATATCGTACAAAAATCGTTGTTTTCTTATAGATCTAAGACAATTTAACAGAATAGGTGCTCATCATAACCAAAATCCAAATTCCACCAAATCATCGCAATCATATAAATGCATGTTCTATCACATATTACCCGAGATTTATCTTATGAACTAATGTTCTTGGATCACCATACTCCAAATAACATTGAAAGTTCAGTTAAGACAACAAAGCAATGCGGAACTGTAAAAAACAAACAAAAAGAGATCAGTGAACGAACTGTCACCCCCTTAAATTACCTTCTTGATGAAATAACCAATGTTGTCATCGCAATCCGACTTTGCAATCTTCTGCTCCGGCTTCATTCGACAGTCCTTCAGTGACCTGCCGTATGGCGACTCAACATTTTGATCATTCTCCGTCTTCTTCACGCCAAAATTACTTGTCTTGAACCCCAAGTCCCCGTCTTTTCTCTTGTTCATACTAGGCAAACACTCCAGTGAGCGCTCTGCGCCTTCGACCCTGAAGTTGTTGGGCAAAGAGCGGCGGGCTGATGGCAGCCGAGCCCTGGAAGGTGGCCGAGCTGGCAAAGCCGGCGGCAACTCCTTCGGCTTTTCGCCCTCATCTCTCCGCCGAAGCGAATCCAGCATTTCCTCCAATGAGCTCCTCGCTATCATCGACGGTGACGCGGAAACCATCATTTTCACAACCACAAGCTACAAATTCAGTCTACGCAGACCTCCCCAACCCCCAAATTCACACCTCAAATTGTCAATTCAAACCTTCAGACTTGGACTCCGACCCATTTCAAACCCAGCATTGAAAAAGAAAAAAAAAAGAACCTACAAAACCCTAAGATCCACGTGTCCAGAATCAGCGACCCAATTCTTCAAATTCTCTCATCAGGCTGAAACCCAAAAACCCGAAAACGAAAGCTTGAATTGGGGATTGGAGGAAATGAAAATGGAAATGGAAAGGTGCAATCTTTTTCTTGTTAGGAACTCCCAAAACTGGGCTGGCTAAATCAAGGGGTTTACGTTATGGGGATTTTGATTGATACTGAAAGCGTAAGTTACGAGGTTTAGAGAGAGAGAGAGAGAGAGAGAGAGAGAGAGAGAGAGAGAGAGGGGAGGGAGGGAGGAGGAGGACTAGAAGGAAAGGGGAGGTTGAGTTTGTTGAGGGAACAAACCTCTTTTCTAGAGAGAGAGAGAGAGAGGGAGAGAGAGGGTGGGAGGAGGAAGACGAAGAAGAAGAATGGAAGAAAGAAAAAGAAAAAGGAAAAGCTGTTGGTTTATGAAAACGGACGAAGCTCTGTTTCTGTTTTTGAAAATAAAAGAATAAATTGGGAACCAACTTTTGGGTTGGAGCGTAGGAAGAAGATTAATATATAAAATAATAAATAAATAAATAAAAATAATACAAAAAACAAGTAAAATTAAAGAGTAATACATGTTTGTTTGTTTTGCTTTAAAGCATTGTTTTGTTTGTTATTTTTCTTTGGTTTGAATTTTAAATTTTTTTCTGTCTTCCAGTTGAGAGAGCCGTTTGGAATTCGGATCCCATAAGGATAATAAAATAATATTAGAATTTTGGTATTTAAAAGATGCAAATTTTGAATAAAATGGGACCTACTCTCACCTAAAGGTGTGACATGCTACTGTGCTACTTGTTAGTTAATTGGGATTTTGGATTAGGATTGGCATGAAGATTTTGATGAAATTACAATAATAAACATTCTATTTTTGGCTATTTTTAGGTTGGTCAAAAATTTGTTACCCGAAAAAAAGATTATTTTTGTTTTGTTGGATAGGTTTTGATGTATTTCTATTTACGTACAATTTGATAATCACACCCAACAAACTTGAAAATGTCAATTTTGCCATTATTAATCTAAATTTCTAATTTAAATACATCATTCGTTACCTTAAAGGTACTATGAATTTGGATTTAATCTATTCCTACTCATTCTCGAGTGGAGCCGCGGCCCCCTCAGTCCTTGATTCAATTCTTTCCTTGTTGGTTATGCTAACACTTGTTGGTTACACTTGGAGACATTGCAATATCTTGGAGGCCAACCAAATAGACCTTAGTTACTACTTCTTCAAACCATTCTGAGATGCTCGCCCTTCATGAAGCTATGTGAATACTTTTGCTAAGAGCCATTTTTTAGCATATTTGAAACACTTGCGAACTTTTTTTCATCATCGATGTCTCTACAATGATTTATGAAGACAATGACGCTTGTATCCACCATACCAAGAAATGATACATCAAATGATATAACATCAAGCAAATTGCACCAAAGTTTTCCGTTTCGCATCAGTAGTAAGAGCATCAGAGAATTGAAGTCAAGTAGATTCTTTCCCAGGACAACCCTCCTAATTTCTTTACAAAGTCACTGCTAAAGTCCACCTTTCATAAATTTGTTCAAGGAATATGTGTAAATTGTCTGAGTTACAATGTTTATAGTTCCTATTTAGAGTTTTTTTCAAATTCAATGAGAGTATCCTGAAGTATACTTATTTAACCTTAATGTACTCTTTTTCCCTACGATCAGGATCATTTTGTCTCATCGAGATTTTGTTGCTTGGCAAGGTTTTGACGAGGCACCCAACCTGAGTTGGTCATACCCTTGTGTGCGTCCTACTTGTGTTCTAAAGGTGTTTTGAGTGTTGACATATTGCATTAACTCACTTTCTCTTTAGACTATGAGTTTTGTCTCACCTTAGATTTTACCATAGCTAGGTTTTGTGATGCTTACTTCCTATATGCATTTCCTATTGCAACTTGCGTTTACTCATTGTGCCAACTAGACAATACGACTTCATCAACTATTTCTTCATCATCCATGAAGTCCTGATACGCCAACTACTTGAGTATTTATATACTTAAGGTGTCACATCTCAGTCCGCATAGTAAGATATTATCCACTTTAGGCCACACCCTCACGGTTTTGTTCTTGGGCTTCCACCCAAAACGCGTCTCACTACAGGGAGGTGAGCATGTACATATAAGGCACATCACCTCCTTCCCCCGGGCGATGTGGGATCTTACAATCCACCCCCTTTAGGGGCCCGACGTCCTCGTCAGCACACTTATGGCAAGGGAGTGGCTCTGATACCAAATTGTCACATCCCAGTCCGCATAGAAAGATATTGTCCGCTTTGAGCCACGCCCTCACGGTTTTGTTCTTGGGCTTTCACCCAAAACGTGTATCACTATAGGGAGGTGAACATGTACATATAAGGCACATCACCTCCTCCCCCCCCCCCCCGGCGATGTGGGATCTTACACAATGGGGAGTGTTGCAGTTTTAATTTAATTAGGAGTGTAATTCGTAGGCAAGAAAATTTGTTATGTTTACTATAAATAAATACACAAAGTGGTGAGAAAGATCATCACATAAATTCTCCAATTCTCTTCTCTCTCTTTCTCCCTATGCCACACCCTCTCTCTCTCTTTCTCACTAAAATACGCCTAATAACAATGTTTTCTTTATTTGTCAAATCTTAAATACTTCCATTTAATGTGTAGAATACCATTATTGTAGCAAACAATGTGTAGAGTATCACAATCACTAGAATCATGAAGAAAAAAATTGTTTGCTAGTAAAATTATAGAAGCATCTATTTGGTTCTCTCGGTTAATTTCCTTATATAGTTATTTAAATTTAGTATAGAACTCGACATCTACAGAAGTTTCACTTACAAATAAAGAAAACTACAACTATACTCTATCCTAAGTGACAATGATGAATCATTTTTCAAGAAAATGAACTTTGGCTAGCACGGTGCAGTAAAATATTGTGAAAGGTTAAGTAATAAACAAATATGAGAACCTTGTACACATGTAATTAGGTGAAAGACTTAAAATCCAAGTATCATAGAATGGCATTTGCTTTCGAAATATACAAGTATACTCTCAATTTTCTCTTTGGTTAAATCATTATTAATTGGACGACCACACTTCACATTATACTTGTCAAATGATGAACCAAACTTCCTCGATATGGTCTCCAACAATATCAAGCATAAAAGAGCATTATTATGGGCATGTTTTCTTAGAATATATATATAATAGAATTGCGCATCTGAAAATAACTTTGAGCACGACATATCGTTTTAAGTATAAGTGCCCATTAATGAATGAGATTAACATTTTTGGGTAGAACCCTTAATTTTGCCAGTGGTCCAAAATATCACAAAAAAATTTAGAATAACAATATAAAACTCATTGTGTGGCTAATTTCTTTCTTGTAAGTTCTTACTAAGAATGCTTAGTGACTCATTTATAAAGTAACCGAAGATTTTTTTTTTATAATTTAAGTAATATCAAGAAAAGATGAAATTCTTTTTTGGAACGAAAGTAACTGAACAGATTTTAGATTTATACAGTACTAAAAACAAGCTGAAACTTCTTATTCTAATGCACAAATCAAAATGGCATGTATTTTTTTTCCAAGATAATTCATTTTATTTTTGTTCTTACTATTGATGTTAATGTTTTCTATTCCTGACTTGATTGATAAAGTTGTCTTACTTTGCAAAAAGAAAAAAAATTAAAACATGAAAACGTTCAAAATAGCTAATAAAGTGGAATATATTATCCACATAAAGGGTACATGAGTAATTTGACCTTACCAAGTCGCACATCAACGAATTCATATTTTAAAAGGAGGAGATTTAATCATAACGGTAACGTGGCTGGCGCTAATTAGGGCAGAAAGGAAACAGATAAAAGTCAAATAAATAAACAAGTCGCAGTATAATAATCTGGCCCAGCAAACTCCACCGTAACCCTATTTCTCCTCATGGGGCAGGCCATTTTGGAACTTAATGCTCGTTGCTTTCCCTTTTTTATTGTCAAATCCTTTCAATGCGAGGCATCAATCTAAGTTGTGACCCCATTTGGTTGAATTGAGATTCATGCATGCATAACCTAGCACATATGTTTGGAGTCCCTTTTGAAATGTAATTATTTTTCTTTTGGTTTATATAATTTCTTGTAGGAGTCATGTTTTAACGAATAAAATTCATAGTCACGGGTCATTGAATTTGATTTCTACGATTTAATCATCAAAGAAGGAGAATAATGATTGCTTGTTAATATTTGAACCTAAACTATTCATATTTGTTAGGTTAAAATTGGCAATCCCTGACAAAATGCCTGAGTCTGTAATAGCTTAGACTTGTTACATATTTACAATTGTAATAGTTTTAGTCTAGGGAGGTTTCTCACACTTTCAATGCGAAGATATTACCAAAACGCGATACTCATTCAGGTACGTTTGCATACATGCATCCAACTACATTCATCTATATCCATATATTATTGTATTTGGGTTAGGACTTTTATTCTTGTGTGTTTTAATTTTCTAGAATCAAATTATCCTGTCTTTCAAACCGTGTGATAAAACTGGTTTTTCAAAACATGTTTTCAAAACTTATATGTTTGCATGTTGGTAGGACTTATCTGTTTGCATGAGGAGTTATCTGATTGCATGTTGGTAGAATTATTAAACTACATGGATTGCATTGTAGTACTTATCAAGAAAAAAAGGGACCAATGCTTTTGCATATATATGGGAAGTCAGGGACGTGAAAAAGTGAGCTATACATGCATTAAAACTTATTTTATTCAAAAGCATTTTCAGAAGCACTAGCTTGGGTTTTTGTGTGCATGGAAAAACAATTTGATTACTACTGTTAGCTTGTGGTTCCAACATCATGGGTTTTTGAAAGAGAAAATATTGTTTTCATGCTGATTTCATTTGGATTTTAAGTTGAATATCAATTATGGAAATGTGCCTTGTGATTTTCGTAATTGATTGTTTTTTCAAACAAACACTTCATCATATAAACATTCTGCATGATCGAGTTAGCATCCTGCAAAGTTCGAGGGAAATGTGATTGACGGCTGCGTTAGTGTCATGCCACTTTAACTCGAAGACTGAAGAAAGATCGAGTAGCAAAGCGCGGAGACAAAGCTGTCAACTGGTATGAGTGTCTAATTGATGAGTTTTGTAAGTCTTTATGTATTCTTTCTTTCTTAGTGCTTCCTGGCTTGGTAGCCCGAGGATTTTCCCAGTGGTGGGTTTTGCCTCGTAAAATCCTACATCTTGTGTGTGCTCTTTATATTCGTGCTGAATATTGGTGTGGGATTAAATTTGCATAACTGATTATTTTAAGTCATAATTTAAATTAGTAATAAGTTGAAATTTATTTATAGTCTAGATTAAATTAGTACCCATCCTAGGACTTTCAATATTAAATTCAACAATGAGTGAACATGTATTCTTTAGTTATTAGATGACCAGATAAAGTGCATGTGTTCTT